ATGTAGCTCACTTTATTTTCCCCAAAGATGTCTTAAACTTTTAATAAGTTCAGTCATCCCTATCTTTCTCCTTACGTATTAATCCTGTAAATTAGTGGCTCTCATATAAGACAAGAAAAAATAATGTGCCTGTGGGATATCAGCACAGATGATCTCTAAGCAGAAGTAAAAATATGGGGAGGTGGTTAGGAAAAGGGAATAGCTATAGAAAATATAAAGACAAACCATGAGTTACCTTTTCTCAGTGGCGATGCAGTGTGGGGGCAGAGTGCTGGAGAGCTGTGCACAGAGGAACACAATGTCTGACAGCAGGAGCCGGAGCCCAGGGAGGAAACCAGATGGAAAGGGCCCCTGCTCAGAGAGAAGGCGACTCAGAGGAAGACAAGTGCACATATGGGATAAAGGACATCACAGAGAATTTAAGAAACAGAAACCACATTGAAATAGAGGGATGGGGGAAGATGCTGGGCCCTGGGTTCTTTCTAGAATAAAAAGGCAAAATACTCTCTGTGTAAGGTAGCATGCATACATAAATTTCCTTTCCATAACAAAGTGTTTTCATTCCTCAGAACTGGAGTCTGAAGCTCATTTGGAGATCTTGGGGCCACTGAAGGCCTGGAGAAGGCTGGCGTCAGAAACTTGGACAGTCCCAGGACCCAGATACAAGATCCCAAGATGAGATGTGGAGCTGCCTCTCTGGAGCTGTGAGAATGGGTCACCTTCAGCAGAGGAAGCTGGAGATAAAGGCTGAGTCGGCGCGCTCTTCCACGTAGTAGAGAAGTTCCACCAGGTGAATGTCAACCCGCTCGGCTTGTTGCCATAGTGGTCTTGTCCACTTGGCTCTTTAAGACCTGGAATTGGGGGAATCAGATCAGGAACACATGCCCACCCAGGCTGGGACCCCTGCTTCTTTCAGAGCCTCTCCACCCTGACTTTCCCCACCTCTGTTGCCTTACTTCATGGGTGCAGAGATCCAGAGCTTTCTCCACATTATCTTAATGAATGAGAAGCCAGAAGTGTAACTCTGCTCACTCCTCAGTTGGAGCAGGCTCCCATTTTCTCTTCTCATCCACATCACTGTGGCATCTACACCACCCACCCAGCTTGGCTTCTTCCCACATGGAGGCCAGGGCATAGCACCCGCCGCCATGTTATGTCTGCCTCAGGCCCTACAGCATGGAGCCACTCACATTCAGGATGTGGCTCTACATTCTGCTCTCTCCTCTCAACCTCCTTGGACAATGACTCCACCTTCATGACAACTCTTCCCCCAGAAGGAGACTATTTCAGAGTCCTCATTTCTCCTTGTCTGCTCTCCTCATTCCCCGCTATATCTCCCTGAGATCTGTAGTAAACCTGGGTGAACCTGAATTCATCATCTTTCTTACAGCATTGACTCTCACTCTGGCTGGCACTATATTTATAATCCTGCAAGCTGAAGCGTTTTACAGGTGAACTGCACCAGTGTCCTGCAACTTACTATATAATGCATTTTAAAATCTTCCTCCTGCATCCCACAATCACTCTCCTTTTTAAAAACCATCTCTGAAGTACTACGGTATTCTCTGGTTGAGCAATTGGTCTCCTGTTTTCCTGCATGAGTACCAGAATGTTTCTGATGGATCACTTTCATCATGTTCGTCTTCAATCAAAGTCCATGGGGTTCCATAGACTCAACAGCAACCTCTAGTGTGGTCCAGAGCCTTCCACAGCCCACGTTCTACTTATGAAGACGAGATTTTGTTGAACAGGTAATTCCATGTTGGGGTTCAGTAAATTAAAATTTACTGAAGAATTATAGTGTGGAGTATCATGATAAAATTGTTTCTCCAAGCCTATTTTCATAAAATGCCTTGAGAGTCAGAGTCCTGCGGTTGAGTGCAGGAAGTCTGCTGAAAGTGAGGTCAGTGGCCCCAGGAATGCCCAGCCACTATTTTTCTACTGGCCTCTAAACTCAGTTCCCCAAAACACTGAACAGTTTTCTTACTTTTCAAAAGGCAGAGAAGTAGCGATTTTGTTTTTCTTTGATCAAAGGCAATTTGGCATCTTTTTTTCCTCAGGCTGGACATAGGCAGAAGGAGGATCATTTCACCAAATCTGCTATACCTTGTATACATATCAATCCTAAAAGACCAAAACAACCAAATAATTCCAATACTTTTTGCCTTAGATTTCATAGGTTTATAAAAACCTAAGACAGTGAAGTAACAGGTGATGGCAAAATAATTCACCTCAGTGAGTGCTTGTCAGTGTCTAGTCATTATGCTCTGATTTTTACAGGTATATTAACATTTATTTATTAAAACAACCTATCGAGATGAACAGATCTCTAAATTTTGTTACGCACATGACCTAATACAGGAAAAAGAGCATCGGTGGTCACAGACATGAGAGAAATCCGTGGAATCACTGCCAGTACCACTGTTGTGCCAAGATTTATCATCTCCGTTGTGGCTTGTTCTTGTGCATGAACCATTGTGAATAAAATGGCCAGAACCTGCTTCTAAGTAATCTAAGAGAGTCCCTGGCCATCTCAGCCAAATTCCTCATCCTCTCTCATCATTTTACATCTCATAGGGCTCCTTCTATGCCCCATATTAGCAGTTCTTCCAATTACACCCATGAAACACGTTTCCACAGCCCTCTCCATGTGCTGTTGCCCAACTCTAGCCATGTGTGCCTTTCTTGAGACCCCACCTAAAAAGAATCCTTCCCTAGTGAAATTCTTTATACAGTTACAACCAGTGCAAGCTTTTCTTCTTTTGTGTCAAACTGGAGTTTCACAATATTTTTTAAACAAGAGCTTTATTGATGCATATTCATACTATAATTTACTTACCAGTTATATTATATTGAGTGGTTTGGTGCATTCACAGAAATCTGTAAAAATAACCACAGTCTAATTCCAGAATTATTTTTATCACACTGATAAGGACATCTGTACTATTAGCAGTATTCTTCGTTTTCTCCTTACTTCTTTAGCTCAAGCAACCCATAATCTTTTTTTCTACCTCTATGGATTTGAATATCTAGACATTTCATATGAAAAAGATCCTATAGTACGTGGCCTTCTGTGTCTTGTTTGTTTATGTAACATGTCTTATGGTTTAACCATCTTGTAGCATGCATTGGTACTTCATTCCTTTTCATGACCAAATATCTTTCCATTGCATGGCTAAGGCATTTTCCCTCCATTTATTGATTGATGAATATTTGGGTTGTTTCTACTTTTTGAATACTATGACTATTGTTATTTGCATTATTCATTTTATGTAAAAAAAAATGTATTTTTGATTGTTTGAGGATATACCTGTTAGAGGAACTGCTGGGTCATTGGTAGCCACTATATTAAAGTTTTGAGGAGCTGCCAGCAGTTTCATTCCCAGGATTATTTGGAATCATGCAGTCTGATCACAACTGCAAGGGAACCTTGACTTTGCCAGTATTGAATCAAACTGGATGTTTTGGCCTTCTAACAATGTGTCAAGGTAACCCCAGCATCCTTGGGGGCAGCCTCTACTAGCTCTGCTCAAGTATTCCAGTTGATATAATTGGTTGGTAATTTAGGTTCCTGGTCATCAGGAGTTACTGGGACCTAAGATTTGGTGTCTTTGCAGCTTTCCCTCCCCAGTCCTTCATCTACACACTCTCAAATATTCTATGCCTGTCCTAAGCTGTTGGCTGGAGGTCAGCCTCTGAAGTCCCTGAGCACCTGGAATTGTGATTCTCCATCCTCCTCAATTCATGTTTCATCCGTGTTTGGAAATCTTTCGCAGGTGCTGGATCTATGGGCTGCATCCTCTTCTGAATCACCTTACCTGAACCCACCCCCCATGTTCACTGTTCCTGTCTCCATGGACTCTTCCATACTCTTCAATACTGGACCCCAGTGTACACGCCCAAGGCCCAGCCAGGTGTTGGTCATGATGCCCTGCCATGGTCCTACCCACTCAAGGAAGGACCTAAATCATCCTGTGTTCTCTGTGGATGGAAGAACAGAAAATATACCGTACAGGGCTCTCTCCTTTATGTCTTTCCCGTAGAGTTTGTATTTGCTGATATGGTTGAGAATGGCTCTAGTCTGCACCAGCTTCATCACGTCCAATCTCAACCATTGGCACTTGCTGGAACATCAAACTCCCATCTTTAGAAGGAAAGAAGAAAAAGGAGGAAGTGAAATGTCTATAAACAGACTTTCAGGAGTAGAAAAAATGGTTGTGGAAATGACTAAATTCGTAAAATGAAAAAGAAATTATTGTCTAGTAAGACTTCACTTGAAACAGCTGTTTTTATTATTATTTTTATTTTTTGAGACAGAGTATCATTCTGTCGCCCAGGCTGGAGTGGGATGGCATGATCGCCCAGCTCACTGTAACCTCTGCCTCCCAGGTTCAAGTGATTTTTGTGTTGATTTACCTTCATGAATATTTTAGAAGGTTGGGACAAGTTACAATGACCCAACCAAGATGCCATTTAAAACAGGAAGTTCCCAGAGTAAGTCTCATGGTGTTTGTGACATTTAAGGCAGGTTCTGAGAGCTTTTTATGTAAGGTCCTTTCTGTGCTCTTCAAAGTCTGCAATAGTGCTGCTTATTACCTTGTCATACCCCTCCGTGAGAGAAAAAACTCAAGACACTGGCCACATCTATTTCTCTTCCTTTGATCTAATGCATGTTCTTGCATCATGCTTGGATGGGGAGGGCTGTGGGATCTGTGCGTACAGCTCATTCCTGGTACCCCAGCACATGAAAACAAAAAGGGCTTTCTCAGGTGCAGGAAATTGTTCCTGTAACAAACACTCACAGAGAGGTTTGGTCCTTTTTAGTCTGGAAGAGTTGCCAGACTTGATCAAAACCTATCCCTTCCATCTTAACCACTTTCTCTCTCTGCACCATGTCCAAATATCACGCCCCATACACATAGACATTGCCGGCTGCTCAAACATCCCCTAGTACCTTCTACTAGATACCCTCATCAGAGGCACTTAGAGATTGATCTTACCATTTCTTAACTTGTCCAAATCTTCTGCAGATTTTAGATATATCTCTTCAAACTGGGAGGAAGCAGACACATGATGGGTTCTTGTTAGTTCATTCTGTTATAGACTTGTGGCCTTGGATGGCCCCTATCTGGTGCATAATTTGGAGAATATAAGATTTCTGAGTTTGGCAGGGTACCCAGAGGGGACTGGTCATAGCCACTTGAAATTTAGACCTAAATCATTAGAGAGAAGTGCATGGGTCACAGCACATAGCTACTCAATCTTCTAGGTCACTTCACCTTCACCCTGATCTCATGAATGTCTATGATTAGGTCATGTTTTGAGAGGGGACGTCACTGGAGAAAAGGCACTGAGCAGTTCTCCTAGTTATGGTGTTGTCATATCTTAGGAAATACCTGTGTCTCCAAGTGAGATCAGACCCACAACCTTGTATGTCCCAGCATGGGAACGTGCCATGGCTAATGGCCATCAAATATTCTGCCACCAAGGAGCCTCTGCTGTAATTTGTATCGCCCCACTTCTCCAGGGTGGCCCTGCTAAGGGTGAAATAGGTCACAGCTGTTACAGCTTTAACATATACAACTATAATTTTTCTCTTCTGCGAAGTTTTGTAGAGACCACGATAGGGTAAAATTCTCAATTTAATAAAGGAATGAGAGTCACGCTAATATATTTTTAATGAAAACTCCTGGTTTCACGTGATGTAGTTTTATGCCACTGGGAATGCCTGTGTATTCTAGAAAGCTTCCCACCTCGTTTTAACCACGTGTTTATTTCTCTGCATCCTCGCAGACATGTGACACTTGGGGGCCGGGACTGTGTCTATCTTCTTCACTGTCCTATCTCCATGACCTAGTACAGGACCTGGAATTAGTAAGTGCTCAACCAAATAATTGCTGTGAATGTAGTCAATCTTTAATAGGTAACTTGTTTACAATACATACTTACTCTCATGTGTAGTTTGCATTTTTACCTCTAATTACAACCTCATTGCCTCTAAATGTTTATGCATTTTTATTTTTATGTCGAAATTATGAACATGAATAAATATAAACGAAAAAACATAATGATTCTCCTTATGCTTCTCACCTCAAAAAATGATAATTATCAATCAAAACCAATATGGACATCTGTATGCCCACCTACTTCTCCTCTTGTAAGCCATTCCATGAAATCCAGATCCGTTAATCCTTAAATACTTCAATGTGTTTCTAAAACACATTAAGTATTCTAAAGATAGCCATAGTACATCATCACACATGAAATATTAACAATAATTCTTCCATGTCATCAAATATTCAATTGATATTCATGTTTCTAATTGTTATTGTAAATACACCATAAATTATTTTACACTTTGTTTAAATTCTAAATCCACTTAAGTTCACACTTTGCGATTAGTTTCTTAAATGTACTTTAATATGTATGCCTTTAGATGAGAAGAAATTTTAAGAGTACTAGGTCAAATCATTCATCTTTTTCTTAATTACAGTCCATTTTTATTTAAGGGACAATGCTTGATAAATAATCATCTCACGCAGTTTCTGTGGAAAAGTATGGGTAACACAATTTTAAATCCAACTTAAGATGATGTAACTCAGAACCTACCTCTACTCCAGCTGCAGCCAGGAGCCACCGGGTGGACTCATTCTGCCAATGCATTGAAGTAGTGGAGCTTGGGTTTCTGCTGCCATGATAGCAGTCTCCTGGAGGCTTCTCTAAGCCTGAATGAATGAACGAATAATTGAAGCCATAGAATAAAAAAATGTACTTTTAGTTTGAAAACCACCCATAATACTGAGGTAGAACCTGCCTTCTTCATGACTGGGTTGCAGGAGTTCCTGGAATGTTTTTTTGGTTCAGATTGTTACCCAACTTGGTAGCCACCCTCAGATTCAGTAAACCAGTCTCAAGTCTTCATTGGCTAACTGTGATTCTTGGCAGCCCTGGGGGGTGAGAGTATGTGGTAATGAAAACATGTATAGGAGTTAATGGGGAAAGGAGGAATTAAAGGACTAATATTTATTGAAAACTTCTAATGATCCTTCCTCCAATGCTAGTCTCTTTAATATTTTATATCTTTAACCCTCATATAGTACCACAGTAGTTATTATCTCATTTTTTTAGTTAATGAAATGGAACATCAGAAAATACAATGTTCCACGAAGTCCCACTCCCAGTTGTTGATGAGACATGAATATACACCAAAGACTAAAATGAAGCACGCCTGGAAACCAGCTGGGCGAGCCTGAGGAATCCATGAACTGGCCGTGAAACCAGAGGATGCTGACGGAGGACCGGCAGGAGCTAGAAGTCCTCTTCAGGTCTTTGACTGTGAGACTGCATTTGATCAAACCAGAATTAGCCTTCAGACTTGTTTTAACTGTAGCCTGAATATCCAAATTATTTCAACAGACTAACAAATGCTAATCCCTTGTTTTAACACGTTCTGTATTCTAACTCTGTGGGAGGTATTTTTGTTTATAACCTGGAAGAAGAGATTTGCTGCATTAACTTTGTAGGATATGGAAGGAGCTAGCATTTGTTCAATGTCAGTCACACACTGGTCATTCTTCTAAACTTCTCTTCATTTTATCCCTGCAAACATCACCTAAGGTGAATGCTGTTGTTATTCTCATTTTACATTTGAGGATACTGAGGTTTTTTCCATGCTTGCTCAGAGTAAATGATGGATCTGGGATGCAGACTCACTGCTGTGTAAAACAAAGACTGCATCTTATTTTCTATGCTGGTGTTTCTCAAATATGCATGGTAATCTTTCAGCAGATTGTGAAACCGCATTACTTTAAAAAATAAAAGAAAAAGGAATATAATAGAAAACATCAGCGGAAACATGACATGTGGAAGGGAGTAAGTAATGTTTCATGAGTTGTTAGTTTCAGTTATCTGCATGTTGTGTGTATGGATGTTTGCATGTGTGCCGCTCACATAGTCACTGTAAATGGTTAAGAGGTAAATTGGACTCATCAGTGAAGTTTGATAGGCCTTGCTCTATCCCAGGCTGTTTGGGAGGTGGAACATAGCAGAGTATCAGAGAATGAAAACCAGTGGCTGCAGGGACAGATGCAACTAACTGTCTCATGAATGTGAATGGAAAGACACAGGACTCATTGAAAGCAGGAGTTCCAGTGACAGGACTTAGGAACAGTTGCATTTCTATTCCAAACTCCCAGTTCTGTTATTAAACATTAAGATGCTTCTTGCAAAGTTTTGTGGTTGCTGAGTGTGGAACAAAAATATACGTGCCTTTAACAACTAATGTATTTATTAATTAGTTTTTTTTTTTTTTTTTTTTGAGATGGAGTTCACTGTTTTTGCCCAGGCTGTAGTGCAACAGTGCGATCTTAGCTCACTGCTGGCCTCAGCTTCCCAGGTTCAAGTGATTCTTATGCCTCAGCCTCCCGAGTAGCTGGGATTAGAGGCACCTTCTACCACACCCGGATAATTTTGTATTTTTAGTGGAGACAGGGTTTCAGCATGTTGGCCAGTCTGGTCTTGATCCCAGACCTCAGGTGATCCACTCGCCTCTGCCTCCCAAAGTGCTAGGATTACAGGAATGACCACGCACCCGGCCTCCAACTAATGTATTTGTAAAAAAGTAGGTATGACTAAAAATTAGGCATCAAATGCTAAATGTCTACATTTTAAATATAGATCAATAGTCCAACCTTTGAAAAGTAAAAATTGGCCCGAAATCATACCGGATAACTCACTGTTTTGTAATTAGATATTTTGGCATTCTACTTTCCTATGATAACTCCAGGAGTAAATTAAAGTAGCAGAAGTAAATAGCATAATTCAGCAGAATGAAAGTGAAGTTCACAGGAAAGCGTGGAGTGTGCTTGTTTAATTGTTATGGACTAGAGTTCACAGTGTTGTAATTCCAATCCCCACGCTAAACTCTCTAACCCATTGATTGAGGATCATGTTTCAAAAGGAAATGAAATTTTATCTTCATAATATTTTATCCACCACTTACTCCTACTGATAACTAACATACCACTTTCTCAATGTGAGGTTTCCAAGGTCAGACTAAGACTGGGACATAGGTTACCATTGAGCTTTGTTGAGTCAACAGAAAATGAGAACCAGAGAGCTCAAGAAGTTTGCCACGAGTCACACACACATGCTGCTCATTCACACGGTCAATATCTAGGAAGTGTCTGCATGCAGCACAGGAAATGGCTCCTATTATCCGAGGAATTAAAGATGGGCACTGGAGTCTCAGAGCTCAAGCACCACCTCCCATGCTGCACACTTGGTGAGTGTTGGGTCTTCAAACTTCTGATTGCAAGTCCAGAGCTTTTCATTTCCACCCCGTAACCTGATTCTCAGCTCCTCTGAGAAGTTGTTTTATATTTTCCTATTCAGTGTATATTAGCCAACTAAATGTTGGAAGGAGAGAGGGCGAGAGAGGCACATCTAATTCCTGAGTTCCTCCTGTGAAACAACTTTTCAGGGGAGCTTGCTTGGAATAAAATTAATAAAGTGCCTTTCTCTGATTTGACAACCTAAAAACCAGAGTGAGTTGAGGACTAGTATAACTGTGTATTCGTCAATTAAAAAATGGGCTTGTTTTGAAGGAATATAAGCTCTCCTCATAATTCCAGGAGTAAATTAAAGGAGTTCCATCTCTGAGTTAGTCCCAATGATGCTGTTTCTTATCAGAGAAAGGAAGAATGATGTAAATCACGACTCCTCCCCATTATGAGATTCATAAACACAGTAGGTTGTTTAATCTCTGAGCCTCAATTTTCTCTCCTTAGAATAGAGGTAGTTATTTCTACTTTTGTAGGTTGTTGAGAAAGTTAAATAAGATAATGTACAAAAAATTCATAGTAGGAACTCAGCAATGGGTGTTTGCTCTTGTCCCAGTGCTTGGAAGATGGGTGAGTCTCTGGACACGTTGAGTAGCCCATGGATCCTCTTTCTTTGATCCATATCCATCGAATTATTTTACCCTCAACTATCTATGTATGTGTATCTGTTCATAATCTCTGTCTATCCATCTATATATGTGTTATTTCATCTATCAGTTGTTCTACCTATCTATCTCTCTGTAATCTGTCTCTTCATCATCTATCATCTATCTTGTATCCATTTCTCTGGTTCTCTATATTTTGTCCATAGAACTCTAGTAGGAATAAGATTTCATATGAATCCAGACTTATGTGAAATCTGTGCGTGTGATAGCTCTCTGTTTCTCTCTCTCTTTGCTTTTTAGCTCCTGTACAGAGAGTTAATGATATTCATTAATCGAGTCCATGTGGATTAACAGGAAGTTTTGTGGTGAACATCCAGGCAGTGGGGCACATCAGTAACACGGCCTTGCTTAGTCCATGGTCATGTAGTCCCATGGTTCTCAGCCAGAGTTTGGCTCCTCTGCTCCAGAGGACACTGAGCAAGGTCCCAGGACATTTTGGGTTGTCACATCTGCAGGGGAGGGAGAAGGGGGCTACAAATCAGGTAAGGTAGAGGGCAGGGATGCCTAGAAACATCCTAGAGTGGGCAGGTCAGATCTCCATACAAAGAATTACACCGTTCAAAGGGCAGCAACAGTCAGAGCCTCTTTCTTAGCTATCCTCCAGATTGGCCAGGAGTTGGTAGGACTCCAGGGACAGAATATGACTTGTCATGGAGCTAATTAGTGGCAAAGGCTCTACTAGAATCTGGATTCCCTGACATTCAAACTAATTTCCTCTAATTATAATAAACCTTAGTTTTAAATTTTCACAGCCTATATAGTATTACAGTGTCACAATTTACAATTGTGTGTTGACTACTTATACAGAGAAAGAAATTTTTGCATACATTGCCACTTCTTCCAGCACTGATTATTCTCAGATTGTTTAAGTACTATCATTTCTTTTTTCCCTCATGTCATTGTTTCCCATACCATTAAATGCTGAGGCCTGGTTTTTCTAAATTCTTCATTTTACATTTCTCTAAAGATGCCATCCAACAGAAAAAGAAATAAACAATTCTTGAACTGTCACCCAAACACACCAAGATGGCATGATATGAGTAAAAACAGACTTTTTCTTGTCTTAAGGACACATACTAGCATATTTTTCTAGGAGGCTAGAGAGAGGAGTCTGAGGCAATGTAGAGAAAATTTATAAGATCAGTACTTACTTTGTTAAACGCTGTCACTATCGTGGCTGGTCAGCAGCAGTTTTCAGGTCCTAAAATGTATTTATAAGCATTGTTCCTTTCCAATAGTTCCTCCACTGAAAGAAGGGTCAAGTTACGGAAAAGCAACTCCCACACATTTCATGGCCAAGGGACCACCTACTGGATTCTAAGACGTGAGTAAGTGATCTGCTTATCAGGAAGAACTGGTTAATATGTTCCATTTCAAGGTTGGCAATTAAAGTTTAAACAATGCATTTCACCTGGATTTACTGCTCTTTTGCAAGTCAGCAGAAACTGGCTTTTTAAAGACACTTGTTTCATGAGTTGGATGCAAAGACTATGGCAACTGAAAAACCTCTGTGTGAGCATAGCTGGGGTTTGTCTGTGAAGGGGCAAGCTGATGCCCCCTTTACTTACTGGGTTGATGAATAAGAATATAGGACATCCGTGTCGATGTGAATTTCAAGGCAAATGATCAATAATTTTTTAGTTATAGCTATTTCCAAACATGGTATGAAATCTGATTATACTGAAATATTCTTTATTGCTTATCTGAAATTCACATTTATAAGTGTCCCTGTATTTTTATCTGCCAAATCAGGAACCCTATTTGCATGTGCTTTTCTCCTTCATAGCTCAAATCCCCCATAATATAACAAATCTGAAAGTATCCATCACCTGGATTCATCAATTTACAATAATGTTTCTTCATCTATAACATGTAGAGACGTTTGTTGGCCCCCAAGAAAGATGAGTCCATATAAATCCTAGACCTGTGAAGTGGATCTAATAATTTGGAAAAAGGCTCTTTGCAGATGTAGTGAAGTAAAAGAATTTGAGATGAGGTCTTCTTGGCATATCTGGAAAGGCCGAATCCAAGTGACAATTGTCCTCTACAGAGAAGAAAGACACGAGACACAGAGGGTGATATGCTGGAAGACAGAGGCAGAGAAATTAGGTGATGTGGTCAGGATCCATGAAAGTCAAGAAAGACCAAGAGCCCCCAGAAGCTAGAAGGCGCGCAGGAAAGGATTCCTGGAAATCACTTCTAATCCAAGCACATTGTACAATGACACCAGAGAGAAAAATGATGTTGCATATAGTTACATTACGTGTAATTCACATGTCCCTATCATATCTTGGCCCAGGCCTGAGTGGCACTGCGGGAACTGAAGGAAGGCTCATGCCTGCGGCTGACTTTGGCTCTCAGGAGTAGAGTGAGGATCGCCAGGAACCTCGCCTGTAAGGGACAACAGGGTGGCCTGAGGTGGGTCTGTTTGCTCTTCAGTATTTCCTCACCTCTAGAAAACTGAGGGATCCACAGCAGACAGAATGGTTGTTTGAAAATGCATAAGAAAAAGTGTTTTCATCAGAAATAAAACAGATGTCCAGGAAAAAAAGAAAATTTCATTTTACCATTCCCAGATGGTAATTGTTTTTCTTGTGGAGATTGTCAGGAGAAAATTTCACTACCCCTGACTTTTGACAGGCCATTTAAACTATAATGTTAGAGGACAATTCTTGAACAAGTCAAACAACTCACATAGTCTACATTTTACGTTTTACTGAATTTTTTAATTCCAAGAAAATTTGTGGGAAGATTGGAAATCTGATTTCATATCGAATACTAATGAAAATAAATCGATTTTAACTAAATCTGGTCATGGACATTTTACTATAGTGTATATAATTTTAAAAATGCATTTATTAGCTGCAATAGCCACAACCAACATTTAGATAAAGCAATTTATTGTTGTAAACTTTAGAATATTTGTATTACATGTTCTTGGCATCCATACCTGCTTTATCGAACCTTGAAAATCTTCCTTCCCTTCTTCTAAACTTTTTTTTTGCATCTATGAGGAAACTACTCTGAAACACCATTTGCAAAACTTCTTCACTGGGAGTTTGCTAATTCTGATTTTCCAGGCCCGGCAAATAAAAGCACAGCCTTAGACTGAAGCCAAGGGCTGACAACACCATTAACACAACCCAGAATCTGAGTGCATCTACACCAAGGAGCAAACTGAGTTCCCTCTATCAGCGCAGTATGAAGGCAGAAATGGCCACTAGAGTGAGAGATGATAAGAGGAAGAACATGCAGCTCATAGCATTTTCCCAAACAATGTCTTTAAGACTTTATTCAGTTCAGTCTTCCTACCCTCTTTCTTGCACTTGAATCGTATATTCATGGCTCTTGTTAGAAACGAGAAAGACCATGTGCCTGAGATATCAGCCTGATCAGTCTCTAAAGCGAAAGAAGTGAAGATATGGAAAAGAATTGAGTTAGAAATGAAATCTGAAAATGTGAAAGACAAACCATGGGAGCCACTTTTTACATGAGGGAATGCATTAGGGCAGCGTGTTGGGAGAAACTTTCTTTAAGGAACACAATGATCTGGCAGCAGAGGCCAGGCCCAAAGAAGACAGATGGAAGGACCTGCAGAACACGCATGACCAGAAGACAAGAGGCATATTGGGATAAAAGGGAGCGTCACAGAGAACTCAGCAAAACCACAGCATTTGAAGGAAATAGAGGGATGAGGAGAGATGCTGGGCCCTGGGTCGCTTAGCATTACAAAAGTGAAATGTTCTTCTTGGGGTAGCATGCACATCAAATTTCCTTGGCATCACAAGAGGAATTTCTATGTCTCAGAATCAGGACCTGGAAGCTCATTTTGGAGACATGGGAGGCCCTGAAGGCCTGGAGAAGGCTGGGATCAGAATGTGGCCAGTCCAAGGGGCCCAGATACCAAATGCCAAGGTGGGAGATGAGGAGCTGCCTCTTGAAGACTGGGAAATGGGTCACCTTCAACAGAGGAAGCTGGAGGTACAGGCTGATCAACTCTTCCACAGTAAGTACCATCAGGTGAATATCAACCAGCTCAGCTTGTTGCCAGTAAGTACTCTTGTCCATAGCTCTTCAGCACCAGAAAATTGGAGGAATCAAAGTCAGAGACATATATTGCAGTAAAGCTGGGCCTCTGCTTCATCCTGAATATGTCAGCCGGCTTCTCCCTCTCCCACCTCTGTTTCCTTACTGTGCAGGTGTGAAGATCCAGACCTTTCCCCATGTTCCTGATTTGGTAGAAATAGAAAAGCGTGGCTCCCTCACTTCTTGGTTGGGCAGGCTCATCTTCTTTTCTCATTCCACATCATGTGGCATCACAGCACCACCCAGCTTGCATCTTCCACATGGAGCCGGGGGCTTATCCCTCTTGCAGCATGCTGTCTGCCCAGGCCCTACAGTGTGGCGGCCTGGTGTTCAGTGGCTTCACCTCTCTATCTCTCACCGTCTCTCTCTTGGACAGCGACTCCACCTTCATGACATGCGCTTCTCAGGAGCAGACTATTTCAGAATCCTCATTTCTCCTTATCTGCTCTCCTCATCTCCTGCTCTGGGATGTGAAATAAGCTGGTGAACACAATTCATCCTCTTTCTTACAATGTTGGATTCTTGCTGCTTTCACTATGCTATAATCTGCACGCCACTGTGTCTGGAGTGAACTGCAAGATGTCTGCAACTTATTTCTGAAATGCAAAAAAAAAAAAATTGTTTGATTGAGGCAAACGGGAATTGTAGTAACTGACATGTGATAAAGCAAAGATAAAATGTTAACTTTGCTATTTAGATCCTTGGTGTATGTAAGTTCATAAAACATTTCTTTGGACTATACTGGATCTATACATTTTTTAATAATAAAATTTTTGAGTGATATGTAATATTTATTAAAATATCTCAGCACATTAACATCGTAAATAATAAAAGGAGAAATCATATGACACCATTGATTTAAGATAATATTTTAGCAAAATATATTTTCCGAATATGTATATACATATAAAAGTATGGATAATTATAGGTACACAAAGAAAACAACTTCGTGCTATATTGTGTATACATTGTTCAAACACACATATCATGGGCTCTTTGGTAGAAGTGGTAGAATTCTTATTCACAGTCTATTTTTATACCATGCCTTGAGAGTCAGGAGCTCCATTAACATCAGGGAAGGCTTTTGGACGTGAAGGTGGGGGTGCCCCACCAATTCCCAGGCACTATTTTCTGTTGTCTTATGTTATGGACCAGATGTTTATGTTTTAAAAGAATTCATACATTGAGATCTGACTGCCATGTCTTTCAGAAGATCCCTAAAAATATATATTCTTTCAAGCCATTAGTAGGTGGGGCTTTCAGGAGATGATCAAGTCATGGGGGTGGAGCTCTCATGAATGACATTAGTCCTTATGAGGACCTTGAGAACTCCTTGGCATGTTTGCCCAGTAGCGAGACACAGCCAGAGATTGGTTGTCTATGAACCAAGAACAAATATAACCAAACTGCTAAGTGCCTTCTGCCTTAGATTTTATGGTTTAAACACTTGGAAACAATGGGCGTTGAGTGATAGCAAAAGTAATTCAGCTCCACTGGGTGCCTTTCAAATACCAGTCATTAGGCTATGATTTTTACAAATATGTTACATTTATTTCTCAGAACACTCTACTGTGGTAGATCTATATCTAAAATGTTTGTAATAAAAGCTGATAAATACATTTAAAAACATCGGTAACCTGTCCAGCGTCACAGTCATGAGAGAAATTAATTAGAATTACTACAAGTAACTACTGATGCTACAAATAAGGTTTGGGTTTATCACTCTGCTGTGGTTGTTCTATACATAGCTTAGCATGATTCATCCCACCATCTAAGCTAGACCTGCATTTACATAATCCCAAGACAGCCTCCCCAGCAGAGCCATCTCCAGCGGTATCCGTCTTCCTCTCTCCTCATACTACACATCCCAGGCTCTTTTTTTTTTTTTTTTTTTTGAGACAGAGTCTGCTCCACAGCCAGCGCAGGTTTGAGCTGTGTGGGATCTCAGCTCACTGCAAGCTCCGCCTGCCTCCAGTTCACGCCATTCTCCTGCCTCAGCCTCCCGAGTAGCTGGGACTACAGGCGCCCGCCACCTCGCCTGGCTAGTTTTTGTATTTTTTAGTAGAGACGGAGTTTCACCGTGTTAGCCAGGATGGTCTCGATCTCCTGACCTCGTGATCCGCCCGTCTCGGCCTCCCAAAGTGCTGGGATTACAGGCTTGAGCCACCGCCCGGCCCCAGAGGCTCCTTTTTATGCCCAATGTTAGAAGTTCTTGAAAAAAATAAAATAAATAAGTGAAAAACTAGGAAATAAGGTATGCGTTTAAAAGATATCCCTAAACAATCTATTTTTGCAAGCAAGCTAGCAATTTTCAAAAAAAAGTTCTCTCAATTATTTTCCATAAAACACTGTTCCATTACCTTCTCCACATGATGTTGGCCAATTCTAGTCATGATTGTGTTTCAAAGACCTCACATTGTTTACATGAGTAAATTAGTAAACATGGCCAAAATATTCATATATTTAAAGCCAATGCATACCACGAGACATCTTCTTTCTTCTCATTTCAAACTGTGTTTCCTACAAAACTTTTATTTATTTGTTTTGTTTTGTTTGTTATTATTTATTTATTTTATTTTATTTTTTGATGCCCACAGTCTCTCTGCCAGGCTGGAGTGCAGTGGGGCTACCTTGGCTCACTGCAGCCTCTGCTTCTTGGGTTCAAGTGATTCTTCTGCCTCAGCCTCCTGGTAGCGCTGGGACTATAGGTGCATGCCATCACACAGCTAATTTTGTATTTTTAGTGGAGGCTGGGTTTCCCGCCATGATGGCCAGGATAGTCTTGATCTCTTGACAGCAATTCCACCCACCTCGGCTTCCCAAAGGGCTGGGATTACAGGCATGAGCCATTACGCCCAGTCCTGTATTCTACTTTTCTTTGAGACAGAATCATCTGTCATCCAGATTGGAGGTACAGTGGTATGAGCTTGGCTCACTGCCACCTCCACCTCCCAGATTCAAGCGGTCTCAACCTCAGCCTCCCCAGTAGGCGGGATTACAGACACCTACCACCACGCCTGGCTAATTTTTGTATTTAAGTAGAGATGAGGTTTCCCCATGTTGACCAAGTTGGTCTTGAACTCCCGACCTCAGGTGATCTGCCTGCCTCGGCCTCCCAAAGTGCTGGGATTACAAGCGTGAGCCGTACCTAGCAAATGCCAAATAACAGCTTTATTGACATGTATTCACATACCATAATTGCCACCCCTTTATAGAATATTATTCAGTAATTTTTAGTACATTTACAGAATTCTGCAAATACTATCACTGTCTAATTCCAGAACATTTTTATCACCTGGGGAAGGCAGTAGCATGCTTTGGCAGCCATTCCCCATTGTCCCCTTTCTCCAGCTCCTGTCATGGGATGATTTCCTTTCTGGACTCAAATGATCTGGATGGTTCATACAAAAGAATTCATGTCACATGTGGCCTTTGGTGTCTGGTTTCTTTTACAGCACATGTTTTAGATATAATCTCAAATATCATACTTCATCTCTTCTGCCTAAATATTGTTGTCTTCACATACATGTCTGTCCTATTCTTCCATGGAGGTGGACATTTTAGGTTATTTCCACCTTTGCATATGATGAATAATTCTCCTGAACATTTCTGTGCATGGATTAGTGCGGAGTGTGTTCCTTTCTCTTGGATGTAGACCTGGTAGTGAATTGCTAGGTCATTGGTATCTGCCATTGGACTTTTCAAGGAACCGCCAGCAAGGGAGGAGACCCTCCCTGGCCCTGCTAGTGCAAAATCAGTCCTGGCTGCTTGGTCTGTATCATTTGATACACATAGCCCCCCATGAGTAAGCCTGGTATCTAGAGCACCAGCCTCTCTAACCCTTAGTCAAGTTGACCAGTTCATATAATTGGCTGGAAATTTAGGTTCCTGGTCATTATTCTTGGAATTACTGGAACCAGAGATTCAGCTCCTTTGCAGTCTTCCCTCCACAGGCCTTCATCTACAGAGTCTCAAACATTCTATGCTTTGTCCTAAGCTATTGGTTGGAGTCCAGCCTCTGAAGGCCTGAGCACCTGGAATCATGGTTCCCCAAGCTCCTGAGTTCACGGTTCATCAGTGTTTGGAAACCTCTGTCAGTGCTGGGACTCTTGAACTGCATTGTCTTCTAGAATCACTCGCCTGAACACTCCCCATATTCACTGTTTCCTCATCTCCATGGGACTCTGTAATACTTGACCCCAGCACACACGCCCAGAGGCCAGCCTGCGGCTAGTCATGATGCTCCTGCCATGGTCCTGCCCACACACAGAAGGACCTAAATCACTCCTATGTTCTCTGTTGATGGAAGAACAGAAAATACACTATATGGGGTTCTCTCTCCTTTGTGTCTGCATCTGATAGATGCTGTATTTGCTGGCAATGTAGTTGAGAATGGCTCTGGTCTGCACCAGCTTCATCCCGTCAATCTCAACCATTGGCACTTCATTGGGAAAAACAAACTCCCGTCTTTGGGAAAATGAAAAAAAAAAGGCAAAAGTGAAATTTCTAGGAATCCCACCCTTTCAGGATGAAAAAGTGGTTGTAGAAATGACTAAATGTATAAAATGAAAAAAAAATATTGTCTGGCAACTGTTCAAATGAAATAGAATTTGTTTTAGCTTCTGCAAATGCTTTTCTTATCAAGCTTTCTTTTGCTTTTATCTGCCTGTTATTTCATTTGTTTTATTCCCCATCCAGCTAAAATAGTTCCTTGTATTGTCTGTGTTGATTTATCTTCATGATATTTTAGGAAGAGTTGGGAGAGGCGGCAACAGGGCCACCAGCCAGATGCCATTTAGAGGAGGAATTTCTCCAGAGTAAGTCTCATGCTGTTGAAGACATTAAATACAGTTCTGAGAGAAGTTTCTGCGATTGGCCCACTTTAGTGATCTTCAATACCCCCATTAGACAAGTGTGTGCAGAGACAGGCTCTGTGTTTCTTACCCCATGGCTGCTACCCTGGCTCATATCCCTCCTCATCC